TCTTTATTTCTAAAATTCTGTGTCAAAACTTCAATATATATACTTGTTTTTATTAATTAAACTATTCTTAAAGGTTTTCTTTTTATTCCTTTCTGTAGTTAATAATTAATAAAAATTAACTAATAACAAAAAATAAAAGGATAATATCATACTAGATGTTGTTAAAATATAGCAACAATAGTGTAGTTTAGAAATAACTTTAACTATACATTTATATCTAATTGATTTATTCATGTATTACTATTTTTCCTACTTAATATTATATAAAAAAAAAAAAAAAGTCAATTATTAATATATATGTTAATCACATTATTGATAAGCAAAATTGCATTATAGAGTAAATAAATGAGTCATAATGATGCTTATCTATCTATGTTACATTTGCTAAATTAATCCTAATTATAATTGATAAATTAATAAACTAAATATAGCTAAATTAATTATAATAATTAGCATGTAATTAAGAAAGGACTTAAAAAAATATTGAAAAAGAAAAATTATAGAAAAATTATAGTATTATTATAAATTTATAATATAAAATTTAATTTTCTGCAAAACTTTTTTTTATTAATTTAGTCTTTTTTCTCAGAACATACCCCATATTTTTATACATATAATATTAGTTTTTATAGATAAAATAAAAGAATTAATTATATTATTAAAAGATAATTTTTTTCAATTAATAAATTAAAAATATTAGTAAGAAAAACATATATATAATTCTTATTCAAAAACTTTTTGTATTTAAAGACTAATATTGAAAAGTTCTTCATATTATGACCTGTCAAAAAAATTATAAACCTAAGATAAATTAGTATACTAAATTTTATTTAATAATAATATATTAAAAATAATAAATCTAGTAACAACATAGTAAATTACTGTATTAAAATACTTTTTTGCTCTTTTTGCTTATTGTTAAATGTCAGAAATAAAAGATCTTCAGGCAAAGATTCTTTATTCTTTAACAACTTTTCTAATTACTTTTGAAATCAATATTTATTTTCTGAATTCATGATATGATTGTTGATATTCATAATTATTTTTGTCCTAACAATCAAATATTTAATAGATAAAAAAACAAGTTGAATTTCTAATACATATCTTTTATAATATGCTTCACATATTAAATAAATAACAGTAGTAGTTTTAAACAACTTTTTTGTATTTAAAGTATCATCTTGAACATGCTAAACTAAAATTTTTATGAATTTGACAACAATTTGATTACATCTATTAAACCATTTGCATAGACTATAAACTATGATATTCTCTATAAAAAACTGAGCAGTATTATAAATTAATAATTCTAAATCATTGTATAATGACATTTATTCTGAAATAAAAATTAAAGCATAAGTATAAATTAGAAATTAACAATAAATATTAAAGCTTAAACTAATATTCATATCAATATTAAAAAATATATATATTTAGTATTATACTAATCTGCTTTGCTATTTCAATAATTGAATTGACCTGTTTTTGACAATCAGAAAATCTTGAATTCTACTGTTCAACAAACATTTCATCATACTTAATTTTTTCATTACATAAATCTTAAATTTTAATCATATTATTATAGGCTCTTTATAATTTACTCCTCAACTCCTCTATTTCAATTTACTGATCATCTAATTTACTTTTCAATTTCTCTATTTCGATTTCTTGATTATATATATATTCTTGCATTTCCTCAATCTGACCATTGAGTCTTATTATTAATTCTGATTTTTGCTAATTTTCTAGTCAAACTGAATCTACAAATTGTTTAATCCTATTAAGCTTAACTACTGGATCAGTGGTATTAGCATTTAAATCATTCTCATTAATGTCAGGGCAAGATATTTGGTTTTCTTGAGTGGGACCTACAAGATGCTCATAAAGCTGATTATTAATAATGACTTGATTGTAATGTATTGAATAAATTGCATGAGAATCAAGGCTGAGATTAGCAAGATCGAAAAAGAAATCATAAAAAAGTCTAATTCTCTTAGCTGCTAATGGGCCATTTGTGTTTTGCCATTTTCCTTCTCCACAAGGACTTAACCTGTTTGCATTATATGCAGTGACCAAACTTGCGAATCTACATCCATGGTCTGCTGCTTTAGACACTAAAAAAATTACCGTTTTAATTAACAAGAACAACATTCTTACTTAACAATGTGTAAAGAAATTCTTAATATTAATTTCTCATTTACTTTTTTTAAAACGACTTACTGGAAGGGATTAAATGGGATTACTGAACGTAGACGTTTAATACTACTTATTCATATATCGTTTAGTATTGAGAAATACGCAAACCCTAAGGGAAGTATGACCATAAAAAAATGAATTGCAGTCAATCAAATTCATGGAAATCGCACGTGGATTATTCTAGATGTTCTAGAATGCGATCTCCTAATTTGGTAAATCGTCGGACTGCATTAGAAAAGATTGAAATTGTGGATACGAAAAAAAAGGTGTAATTGAAATCGAGCATCCATCTGTCCAATAAAATTAAGAATTTGATTTTTTAACAGTCAAGCATTGTGATCGTTGGTGTATACGTTACTTGCAAAGGAATTTAATGATGAATTTTTATATACAAGCTGCAAGCATTTTAGATAAATTATTCGCACATAAGGGTACGATTAAAAGTCTTACACTAGCCGATAATGTTAAGGAGAAGAAAAAGATGTATGCACTAATATGTGAGACTTTGAAATGTAAGGTCAATCGTAGAATTTTTCCGTAATGTAAGGTTTTTCGTGAACTTCATTCTAAATATATCAAGTAATCCAATATAAGACAAAGGTGTAATCAATACAATTATGGATAATTCCCAAATATTTGATGTTGAGAAAAAGGTAGTTCAATTAGCGGCTGGTTTTTTCAAAGAACACCAATAAAACATATGTTTATCTATTTTTGATTACGTATGATAGCTTCCAAGAAATATCGCCATGCTTTTAGTTCACGATCTCTTATTTTCCCCGAATGGAATTAAATCACTATCAAATGGGCCTTATAAACAATCAATTTTACGTCATGAAATAAGATTAAGAGCAGAGCTTGCCAGAATTAAAATTAAGATGAAAGTTAAAAACAATGAAGATTTAAAAATTCGGGAATTAAGTATGTGTTAAAAATAAGTGAATAATTAGAATACAATTTGTTCAAATTGATTTGTTTTCTTATTAAATATTATTTCGTTATAGCTGTAATCCCGCGTTATATCCGCGTAAATACACTTAAAACATCTATTGAAAAGGTTATAGAGCATTTTCAAGCAAAAGGATTTACTCATGAGGAACCTATTGATGATTTGACTAACATATGGTAGTAATAATAATAATACCTAAAGACGCATTGCAATTTATTGTTTTTAAAATCATTTCTTTCGTAATCTTTTTGAATAAAGCCCTAAAACAATTCGAAAAGATAGACATTTGCCAGATCTTTTGATATTACCATCAAACACAGACCTTCATAAAGATGCTTTATATTTATCTGGTGATATTATTCTTCAGGTATTTCTTTGCGCATTTATCTTTTAAATTACACGCGTAAGTTTGATATTCGTCATATTTGGTACACGTTATAGGATAAAGCTTCATGTATTCCTGCATTTGTTTGTTCACCATCTTTCAATTCGCATGTGATTGATGCGTGCGCAGCTCCTGGAAATAAAACTTCGCATCTATCAGCCATAATGCAAAATACAGGAAAAATATGGGCTTTTGATCTTGATAAATCCCGATTAAATTTGCTTAAGACATTAATACAAAAGGCTGGGTGTAAAAGTACAAAATTTTATAAATTATTTATAATTTCCTTTTCGTATTGAGTTATTTAATCACAAGTTACAATTGATTTATAGATGTTGAAGCTATTCATGGATCTTTTTTGGATGTTGATCCCTTGGATTCAAAATACTCTAGTGTAGGTTATATCTTACTTGATCCATCATGTTCCGGGTCAGGAATCGTAAATAGATTAGATTATTTGATTGATGCATCTGATGGTTGGTATACATATACTTGATGAAATTATTATGCTTTTTTGTGCACAGCAAATAAAATTTTTATTACGTTATTTACTACTTATTTAAGATGCTCAAGAACACTCGGATCTTTCTCACAAATTTAAGGAACGTCTTGAAAATTTAAGCGAATTTCAAGAAAAGATAATTTTACATGCGTTTAAATGTAATATTTATATTCTAACGAATATTTACGCTTTCATTAATTAACATTATTTCTAATATAACACCAAAATAGTTCCTTTAGTTCAAAAAATAATATACTCTACATGCTCAGTTTATGCAGAAGAGAATGAACATGTCATCAAACGCGTCTTGGATCAAACAGACCTTTTTGTTTTGGCAAACAAGAATGATATAATGCCATCATGGCCAAGACGTGGTATTTCAAGTGAAATAAATAATGATGAAGGTTGGTTAATAAAAAAACAACATTTGGTTCAGAGTCTCTTAATGCAGATTTTATAATAATTTTGCTATTATAAATGATCCAGGAACTGCAGAAAAGTTAATTCGCACAAGTCCAAATGAGGATTATACAAATGGTTTTTTCGTTGCATGCTTTGTTCGTAAAGTCACAAAACTGATCAATACTGAGACTGACGGTGGCTTAGGATCTAGGAAGCGAAAACGCAACAAGGATATCACAATAGTCAAAATTAAAGATGATGATGAATGGAGGGTTAGTGTTTTGGATGATAATTCATTGGTGTCAAAAAAATCCATAAAAAATGATGGAAGGAAAAAGAACAATGCTTCTTAACCTAATTAACCCAAGTGCACAATATTTAATTCTCCAAAATTATGAGCTGAAAATCGACAGACAATATAATCTGTTATTATAATAATAGGATTCATTAGTAGGATTGTAATTACAATATTTTAGAAACTCTATTATTGCTGACTTCTCGGATTTTTTATGACTACTGTTTATTAAATCTACTGCATAGATATTTTTTTAAATATTAAAGTGAGGCCATGCCTCTATCTTTATTAAAACTCAGTTAAACTTTTTACAAGTAAAATATACAGAAAAAGTTTATATTTGAATTTTAAATCTACTAAATATTAAGATTAGAAGCTCAGACAAATGAGTGTGACAAAAAATACGTTATATGATCAAATATGTAGTAATAAACCCCATCAAAATGCTATCAGTAACTGGTTCAAAACATCTGAAACCAATTTTCTGGTATAATTATCTTTAGTTTCAACCTTAATATTGTTACCACCCAAAGAGATTACAACCTTTGGGGAATCAATGTAAATTGTGCAAGTCCCAGTTTTTGTATCATCCTCTAACGTAATAAGGCAACCATACTATAATAATTTAATATGTTATTAGCATGTATATATATATAATATAAATCTTTCAAATTGGAATGAATGAATATCTTTACTTACTAACTGTTCAGTTAATTTATCTATTAAGCTCGGTACATTAATATTTCCGATCGCATAAGTTTGTTTTAAGATTTGACTACTTGCAGAAGGAATTAGGGAAGATTGATTGTTATACGTTTTAAGAGTTGCATATAATGCAGCAACCTTTGTTTCACCAATGTTTGTTGTATATATTTCAGATGCAAGCTATATAAATGTCATAAAAGACAATGTCAGTCTCAAAGAAAATTATCCAGAATATAAATAAAGAAAAACACTTACATTTTCTGCCATGTAAGTTCTTTTATATTGGGAATTTATGGAGATATTAACAATGTCTAGATGCTCGTACAAAGTAACCAATGAAGAAGGCATTTGTTTTCGTATGTCATCTGCATTTTTTACTGCTCTGTGAGGGAACAGTACTTCCCGAGGTCTCAATTCTTTAATCATTTCGACTGATTGTTCAACTGTAAGGCGAATATCGATTGGAAAATGAATTGTTTTAATTTGCAAGCCATCAAATGCTGAAATAGCTTCTTTAAAGTTGAATTCTGATTCTAAATTATTTATACCACGATAAATAAATATAAAGTAATAAATTATGAGAAAGTTGATTAAACTTGTTCATACCTATGAAAATTATAGCATTGTTTGGATTACTTCCCCATTTTTTAATAAAATTAATTACTGCACCGCTCCGTAGGGAAGAATGTCCCGCAAAGACAATACATGGTTCTTGGTATATTTCTTGGAGAGAACTATCAGCACGAGCAGCATAATAGAGTAGGTTTCTATCAATCATATCTTTATAAACCATCGGATTCTCCGGAATGTACATACGTAACTGTCTTTCTTCACACATCCTTGAGTAACAAAATTTGAAAATTTCAAACTATTGTTCGGCTGTTCATATTTATGTATCAAATATTGAATTCGTACCATTCACCTGAGATAAATGAATACTTGAGCGATTCTTCAGCTATAGGAGAAATAGCATAAAATGGAACACAGCCAAGTCCTCTGGAATTCAAATGCCTCCCAAGATAATCTAACACGTCAAACATTATACCATTAAGAACACAGGGAATTAAGACGTTTCCCTTATTCGCTAAAACGTCCCCTAAAATACAAATACAAATATAAAATTACCGAAAACGAAGATAAAAATTACAGAAAAACGGTAGCAAACCTGCATAATTTCCAATATCACGTAACATAGGTAAAATAGATTCTAATCTAATGTCATCTTCACTATGTGATTCGCACAAATCACTAAATATTACGACATCAACGTCATCCAATACAGATTTGCTAAATGGCAGTGGGTGAATATCAGTTATTATGGAAGAGGAAGATATCATCGCAATCTATATGAATATTTAACATTTTGAATATTTAACATTTGATACCATCCTTAGCGCAAAAACGTATTATATAATATATATTATATATATATAAACATAGTTACCTTTTCAGTATCACAAATTATCGACCAATTAGCACTGCCTAAACAATATCCAGCGCTATGTGCAGTAACCTTAACTCCGTATAAATCCTAAAAATGAATGAAGTATGTCGGTAACAATGAAGCAACAAATACGACAATACCCAGCTAACATTAATTATACATACAAGATTTTCACCATATCGAACAGGCTGTATCTTATCAACACATGATTGCACATCTGATATTGTATATAAAGATTGAGCTAAGTTACTTTCAGCAGTGAAACCATAAAAAATGTTCGATTTTCTATAAAGTAATAAAGTAGTTAAAATAACAGGCACCAAATTTCATAAATGCGAATAATAATAATAATAATTATGACTTAGTACTCGGCTTTAGTATGTACATGTTGTCGAGAATAACTCGGAACCGAACTGTCGCCAAAAAAATGAACCAACTCTTTCATCATTTGACTAAAAAAAAAAACTAGAAGTGTTAAACATTTAAAAAGAAGCATTTCTAAACCATACGAAATGAAGAAACGAAAACACACATTCAACAGTTACCATCCAAATATAACTGTAGGTTCTGTTGCGTAAACCTTTCCTCTAAATTCAGAATATTCGGTTATATAAGGTAACGCAAGCATATTTTTATAATTGGTAATCAATATAAAATCTATAGATTTCCAATCAACACTCGAAAATACTGGAGTCTCCACGTAAAATTGACCTCTAGATCGACGTGTGCTTCCATTAGCTGGATCTATGGATGGATCTAATTTTGTACGTTTTGGTTCATTATCAACTATCATAGAATCAGAAAAGTTGCTTGTGGCTTCAGTTTCTGTAGTCATAGGATGGGAACGGGTGCCTAAATTGTCTCGAGGCGAAAACTTCATTAAGCCGGATACATTGAGGCCACAATCAATTATGAAATTCATTTGCTTCAGCTTAATCAAGAAGCAATTCGATCGAAGGTTTCGGCTTAAAGGGTGCTTTTAACATTTAATTAAAAGTAATAAAGAAATTCATTCAGAATGGTATAATTTAGAATTTGTTCATATGAGTATTGACTTACCAATTTCATTGTTAAAACCTGGAAGCGCAGATATCTATCTCTAAAAAAAAATCTACAGTTTATTGGAAGAGGTGAATCGATTTCTTTATCGGTATCGGTAAAGAGATTAATCACGTGAATTTAGTCATCCAATAATATTTCAAGATCAGGTGATCAAAATCGAAAAATGTATCGTATTTCATTTAGTAAAAAAAAAGAAAATATCAGTAAAAAAATCATGTGGAGTCTATTATCATAGGAGTGGTTTATTCAGTGAAATACGGTAGACATTTTGGACAATTTGGACGATTTGACATTTGGACAATGTTCAAATAAGGCCATACAAACTTATATTTTCCATATCTCGCTGGGTCAGCGGAGCGGAAATCCAAAATTTTTATTTTTATTTAATATATCAACCAATAGAATATTCCATACATATCATATGGTAAATCGTTAAGTTCTTGCGAAAAGTGACAGTTTCAGCTTCTAATTTCATTTTATGTTGGTCAATCGTAATGAGTACCGCCTAAATGCTAGTCAGCAAGATACAGTACTGTATAATGCGTAATCGAAAGCATATACCCGACCCCAATAAATAGTAAAGAAACTTATTTTATCAACATTCATGATACGTAACTTAAACTTGACTACACTTGAAATTATTTCAAAAAGAAACCATTTATATATGAGTGCCACTAAGGAAAACCTGGACCTGAAAATTGTAGCTTATTATTCGGCGAACTTAGCTCTTAAAAAGTCATTAAAGATTCATCTGTTTTGGTATTATGTGCTTTGATTATATAATTAATCTTCATATTGACATTTTATTATTTTTATACTATAAAATTGTCATAATTGATGAATCAATAATGATCTTGCAGGAGTTAAGTTCGCCGAATAATAAACTACAATTTTCAGATCCAGGTTTCCCTTGGCGGTATTTATATAATTGGTACACTTAGTTCCTAGCATAACTGCCAAAATCATGAATGAATCACTAAAATAGATCATTATAATTATAAAATATGGAAGGCCTCTGTAATAGAAAGAGTCCAAACAATATGATTTTGAGATAACCTAGTTAATTGTGATAGGAAATTGGGGTGTGTATTTGCGGGTGATGTGCAAGTCTCCTAAATTTTTTTATGCCAACTTTCGCATCGAAGTATTGCAAAATCTTATTATTGATTCTATAAATTGATTTGTCTTCAGAAGGTGCGACTAATAAATTTAGTAAGTTTTGATATCCAATTGAATACATAAATTGCATCAAATGTAGTATTTATGAAAATTGCAACATAAATTTTTACTAATCAAAGCTATTTTTATTTCATCCATCCATGCTCTTGAAAGATGTCTCACTTTAAGTTTTTATATTGTGCAAAAGATAAATTGTTCCATAAATCCTAGGAGTAAATAATTAAGACGCCACAAATGTCGAGGCTTTAAATCTTCGGTTATTACACATGAAACTTGTTGACCGAATTGATAATATCGGCCGAGTAAACAGACGTGAAGCTAAAATATTCTCAATGAGAGATACGTGTGATAGTGTGTTGAAATTCTAAGCAAATACTCAAGTGAACGCATTTAAAAGGGATACTTCAAAGAAATTATTTAAGTGACATAACATCGAGAACGGTTGGTTGTGACCCTTATGCACAAGAAGGAGCACGTAAGGATCACTATAATAGACTTATTACAAGACCCAAATCACCATAGTCACGAGTTACCTTATCCTATTTCCCCTAGTTCATATTATCGTTGTATGTTAAATCCTCAATTATCGGCCTGGTATAAATTTTAATTAAATAGTTTTTATTTTTTTTGTTATAAAAATATCGTAGACTTTTAACAAGATCAAGCGCCCACACATAAATCTATTAGCTTAAGTTTCAAATGTAATTATATTCATTCCAAAGTCTATTGTCCACCGTTGCATTTAGTGCTTAGAATGGGTCGACCTGAACAACCCGAAACTGGCATGTTTAAAATAGATTTTATTATATAGGTTATGACACACTCCTATGCATAGGTGACCCATCCCTAGATCATACCATTCCTTATAGGTAATGCATGTTTCATATTGTATGACCAATTAAGTGGTTCAGACACTGTATAAGTTAATTAACAAAGATAAACAATATCATTACTTTGAAATAGATAAGATAATTGATAATTGAATAATATTTTAAAAACATTAGAAAGTTTGCCACTACTCTTGGAAGTCTAGTGATTATACTACGTTCCTTGTTTGAGTACGACTATGTCATGCAACTACCCAAATTTTATTTAAAAATGATTTCAATTTTGTAAAACGATAGATCATTCTTTCATGCCCAGCAAAAAATACAAAAAATTTTTAGCATATGAAGTTTTTTTTTACCGAATATTTGTAAAAATATTGAATCCGTTTTTCAGGTCACTTATATAAAAACTGATAGTATAAGTCTGTACGGTCTAAAAGTTTTTATTATAGTTATTTTCATTAATTGGGACATCTGGTACGTAAACAATTGACCGAATGATTATTTGTCAATTCGGCAGTAATAAACTTTTGATAGTGAAATCTGCGACAGAGGTAGTTAGTTAGGGTTGTCATCAATAACGTAAACACTTTCACGGGTTTCTATCGTGAGTTTCACCTTGTCATATTATATATATCGATATTTTTTGCGATTATATTTTGAACGATACTACAATGTTAACACACCCAAAATTAAGTTTTCGTTTGAGTGCATGTCCAGTATGCTTGATGTGTTTAGTCTGTACGAAAATTTATTAAGATTGTTCTTATCAACCAGCAGATCTTGACAAAACGAGCTTCCATAATAAGTACATTACACAGTAGACGTTAATAAAAAAAAAAAGTTAAATACGAACAAGAATTGATCGTTTAAAAAGAATATACATATAACACAACACAAGCTATTATCCAAACAACCGACCTTCTCACACAAAAATGTTGATTATGTTAAAGAATATATATTAGAAGCGATATTTAATTCATAGCATATCAAAAAATAATGCATTGTGTTAGAATCGAATTATGTATTAGTTACGTATTAATAAATTATTTTATATTAACGTTAATTTTTCGGTTAATTTGATTTAATTGACTAATCATCACGTTTTGATCGACATAAATTATATCACGTGATGATACATGGTACAACGTCATTATAATGATTCTATTCTTATAACAAATTTACATTTTTATTACTCACTTTCGACCGATTGTAATCCTAATCAGCAGGTAATAAAACGTAAAATAATTACTTAATGTTATACATTAAGTAAGGGATGAGTCATAAGTAATTGTTACAAATTAAATTAAGTTTGACAAATTTCATTGACTACGTATAAATTTCTAAATTCCTTAAAAACCAGAGCTAGTGGTCATTAAAGTTAGCGAAAATAGTTACATAGTAAAATTAGCAAAATTAGCAAACTAAAATTTATTATGAATTTATATTTTACAAAAAACATTTACACCATCCTGCTAAGTTATGTTAGTTAACATATAAAACATTTAATCTTGCAATATTTTTAGCATTTAAAATATGCTTATAATTTGAGAAACGAACGCTCTATATCAAAATAAAAACTTTATTAAATCAACATTAATTTCTTGTTTATCAGTTACTTTGAGTTTGAATTTTGTTGATTTGATATTTTGCCAGGTTCAGTAATTTGCTTTAGTCTTTTGTGCTTATTAGTTTTTAAATATGAACCTAGGTTATGTTTTCAACAAGACATTCGTTTTCATAAAAGTCATTTTCATACTGAAAACATTTATTGTCATTAAGAAAAAATTTATTTGATGTGATATTATTATACAAATTAGATCAATGTAATACGTAACAAAAAACCCTTTTTATAAAGCCCAAATCGAAAGAACATAAAGATCTTTAGCCGATATTTAAATATACTAATATAAGTAATGATCGACATAACCTGTCACAGTACGTACATACAATTGATTATTATTAATAAGTTCTCTATACGTACTATATTTGACCCTATAAATTTGTCTTCACTATTGATAATTATTTGCAAAGGTAATAATCAAATGCCTAGTGCAATAATAGCGAATTCGCATTTCAGCATTACTGACTATTTGCGCTATTTTAGATGCTACAAAAATCCATTGACTGCTTAAAACGTTAACTACATACACAATTTTACGCATTGGTTTGAATTAGAGTTAGTGTTAGTACTTCAATCCGGATATATTTATATCCGGATATTAAAACATAGTAATAATTTAAATCCAGATTAATTTTATATCCGGATATAAAACATACATTCAATAATTGATAAATCAGGCTTAATGGTAACGTTATTTTTAGGAAGATTATTGGTTCGGCTTAGTTTGCAGATTACAGGATTAATGAATAGAGTAGATGCATCACACATTCTTGGGACCACCCAAACTTCAAAATTCCTTATTTGGGTGATTAACCAATAAAATTTGGTGATCTACCAATCAAATCGTAAAATTTTTACAAAGCAAAATACAAGAAACGGGTATCTAAACCTCTCTTGAAGCACCAATAAAAATTTTGGGATAGCAATTTTACTTATAACCCTTGTCTAATCCATAACCTCCGAACAACTCTAACACCAATTTTATACGCATCGTTTTAACCTCGGTAAACTGTCAATTTAACTACGTATCTACTACGATTTAGACTACAATTCAATATAATTTGATAGCTTAATCACAGATCAATCATGAAATTTCCAGGCAGATTTGCTTACGGCTAAAATTTTTTGCGAATATTATCAGTGTTAAACTTTATAAATACATACATATCGCAATATCGCATGCACATAACAATGTTAAGCATAGATGAACCACAGAAAGTACTTAAAGTATTCGTTCTTCTCGCAGGTATACCGGTACCAAAGGTGATTGAGAATTTTGGACATTATGGAGAACAATTTTCAACTCTCTTGCAAAATGCTATTAATAGTGAGAAGCAGAAATTATCCCTGAGAATTCGTTATTATGATGTAGTAAATATGGAATTTCCAGAAGAAAAGGACTTGCTTGAAACGAATGGCATCATCATTACCGGTTCTGGTAATATTTATATGACTCAACATTCGAAAAATGTGTTGTTCCTTTTTATTATGATTATTATTTAATGTTAATAAATTTAATTAGCTTCATCGGCGTATGAAAATATTCCGTGGATTAATCGTCTCGTTGATTTTACGAAACTTATCATCAACAAACATCAACATATTAAATTAATTGGTGTTTGTTTTGGTCACCAAATTGTAGCCAGGGCTGTAGGTGGCCAAGTTATTAAAAATTCATTGGGTTGGGAGGTGAATTGATTTATTCCGTAATAATAATTTTTCTAAAGTTCTAATACTAATTCTTGTATTTTTCCTCAAAGGTTGGTGTAACTGAAGTTTCACTTACAGACGTCGGAAAAAATTTTTTTAAGACAGACAACAAAGTTTTGGTAAATTCAATGTTATTAGTTTTATTAAAAATTTCTTAAATAACTTTAACTTGACAGTGTGTTTTTTTTTAGCGTATTCAAGAAATGCACCAAGTATAAACATACAATTTCTTATTTTAATTAACTATACATTTTTATCAATCATGAGAATTCATTCATTCATTATTTGTTTTTATTATTACTTAGGATCATGTCCATAATCTACCTCATGGTTTTTATAACTTAGGGTTTACTTCAAAGTCTCCAATTCAAGGCATGATAAAGGACAATCAAGTTTTAACAATTCAAGGTCACCCTGAGTTCGTTAGTGAAGTGGCAAAATTAACAATTAATTATCGAGTAGATAAAGGAATATTTACTCCAGAATTTGCACAAACTGCGTTGAAGGCTGCTGACTATAAGGATGATAGTTTATTGATTGGACAAAGATTCATTGAATTTATAGCTGGTTAACGATTTTGTTTTATTATAGTGTTAAAGTGATACGTATTACATAAGCATAAAGTATGGCGTCGTAAGTAGCTAATTACTACAATTATAGTTACTACATAAATTTTTACAAATGTTTTTTAAAAACCGTAATTGAAGTAATATTTACAACACGTAGTAAATATTACATATGTATAAGTAATAAATATTATATGTAGTAAATATTACTACATACGTATACGTAATAAAATACATTATTAGGGTTGTGTTACAGAAATTACACACAATTTTAATTTCATGTAATTTTACGTAAGTTTCAGTAACTTGAATTTCATGAAATTTTACACGTGATATCATATGCCAGCATTATGAAAACTTTAGCCAAAATTATTAAATACGCAAATATGGTTATAATAAAATTTATTGTATTTATAACAATGCAATTTTATACAATAATTTATGTTTATTCTCTATCATCTTTTCTATAATAATCAGATCTTATAATACGTATTAAATTAACTAAGTATTTTTCATATTAAATGAATTCAAATGTTCTTTTTTACTTTAATTCTTTATATGCATTTTATTATTATTCTAATTTTAGCAAATTTTTATAATATTTGAATATTTATCTTTGCCATTTACTATTTTTTTAAAATAATAAAGCCTAGGATTTAATGTTTTATAAATGTCTTATACTCATCCTTGTCTGTTGTAATAGTTTATTTTAGTATATTTTTAATAATACTTAAATGACTTACATTTATCCTGATTTCTTTTCAATAACAATATTTAAGATTATTTTATATGCATTCATTTCTTTTATAATAAAAAACATAATTTATAGTTAATTACTGAGTAAACTTTTGTCTATTTAAAATTTTAATTCTGATTTATCTAATTTGCTACAATATACTAATAATATTTTTATTAACTAGCAATATATGTTTTTAATCATGTCTCATAGTTATATAATAAAGTTGAAATTTATTTAATACTATTTACAAAAAAAATTTAACTTATTAACTTTACAATTTATATTTATATATAATTTTTTGCTATCACAACTTTTTACTATATTTATTTTATTACAAATGTATAATTACAAATATGCACTTATTAAATAAACAAATAAATTTCATATGAATAGACTTTACTAATCTAATTGATATATACTTATAACCCAATTAAACATATATCAAATTTCATTTTTTTGCTTTCTTCTATATTTATAACAAACATACCACATTTTCCTAATTAGATACTAATATGTTGACTAGTAAAAATTGCAGAAATAAAGACAAAAATAGTAATGCATGTTTAATCAAATTCTACATACATTGCAAGAGAAAAAAATTAATACTAGAATTGACAGTGTTGAATGCGTATAGTATACTAATAGCAACTAAAATAGGTACTATGTACTCTAGGATGAGTAATTATTAGAGCTATAGGTTATGTCATGAGACTCTAATTTTAGATCACGTTATTTGAATTTTACTTTTTGAGGAGAACTAGTAAAGTAAAAACACTTTATAGTAACTAATTTATTCAAGGCAAAAGATTTATGCATATATATATTTTTGTTATTATGGAATTTTCTAACACATCTGTTTATTTGTTGATCTAATAATCAATTTCTTTTTACAGACTATACACATATAGTGATAATTATTACATGTAATGATTATTACAATTACTACTTTTGTAATAAATAATTACTACGGATATTAGATTTTGATTTACGGCACCAATAATTACCCAACTGTTAATACATTTCATTGTGATTAATTTTTTTTTCATATTACATGATTGGATTTTCTATTCCATAAAGCAACCTCCGAATTATTAGTTGGTAGTATAAAGTATAAGTTAATTAAACAAAAGCTCAAATTTCGCTTATAAAATTATATTTCAAATTGGTATCAGAACTGTTAAATAGTTTTAACTGACAAATATTGACTAACGTGTAAACAAAAGATAATTATGTAATAAGTAACCCACCCCTGAATTTATAACAAATTGATTCGAAATAGACTCGGCTGAATTATATCAATTGATGATTTTCGTAGCGTAAAGTTTTACATTTTGAATATTTTTATCGACGCAGAGCAGAAATCATTGTCCTACGCACTTTGATGAGTACATTTTGTGTTTAATAGACATATCAAAAACGTAATTTCATTGATACTTGTATGTTCACATACAGTAGTGACAACACAAAATTTTCTGCTTCGAATTCATGACGGTTTGCGTTCCTAATTATAATATACTGAAATTTTAGTAGTTGGTTTGTATTCTATTATGATCTTAGATTAAAAATTTTAAGTGCCAGGTGAAACCGGAAAGCCTTAATTATAAATCATTTTGCAACATTTTTTCAAAATGATTCTGTTGTTAAACTATATATTTAGTACAAATTTCATGTAATAAAATATTGAACACAATAACTGTTCATAATAATAATAATTATAAAATATAATTATTATGAAAAGTAAATCTCTTATATTAACATTTTTTTACAATAGTTTATTTTAATATTAACAGAATTCTACTATGCTATGTAATTGAATTAATATATACATACACTTCCTGAAATGGAATCTATTAAGACGAAAGTTCACCTTTTTTTTTGTTTTTTACAGCTTTGTATTAATCGAATGCATTTTCGTGTTTTCTATAAAAACTAATAACTTTGTTCGATGTGAGCGATATTTATCATTTATAATTAATGAATGTGTGTAAAACAAACAAACTTTATACAACGTCATCGATCAAAAAGAAAGTATTATTCTAGATTTTCAACGGTATAACTTATTTAACTGTCTTTGGGCGCTCAAATGGATACTTAATTGATTAAGTAGATTAAATAATTGCATGACTGAACTATTGCCCAAGTAAATAAATTTCTTTTTTGAATATAAGCAAACTCGTAGATGCCTATGAATATAAGAAATGAATAATAAATATATATGCAGTAAATAAAAATACACCATTAATAGTCGTACTGACAAACCTAAACAACATAAATCAGTAAGGCCATACACCAAAAATATCATGAAATTCTATTTCGTTAAACCAACACATGTTTGAAGTGATATTCAAAGTCCCCAATTCCATATGATAATTAATCAAATTTGTTTGTTCACAGGAAAACCAATCTTCTGCTTGTTGAAAAACAAGATCCAAGAATGAAATTGACCTTTGATAACATAATTCAAGAAAAATATTTAATGAATCTGTTGTCAATCTAAAACAAGAATCAAAATGAAGTGAATTCAATTTTGATGAAATTGTTTGACCGAGTAATGGCATTAAATCGCTAATTTCTATCTTTGACTCTAAGCCTAACATTTCTACTTTTTCTAAATATATACATGATCGAAAAATTGAGGGCAGGTGTTTGACAGTTTCACTTGTTGTTGGAATTTTAAGCTTTGTTAAATGAGGACAATGTTCTATTATTGTTAAATATAACAAATTTTCATTATTAGAGTCATCCTCTTCAATCCATTTCAACAATAATTCCAAAAGTCGACCATTAGTGTTACGGATAATAGTGGCAAGTTGAAAAATATTAATAGTGTCATCTATTTCAATTTGAATAATAATGAGTTGTTTAAATACTGAAGGTTTTATAAAAGGTTCTAAAAAATTTTCTTCAAATTCCTCAAATTCTCTACGTAAATCTCTCCAAATTCTATCAGGTTCTTCCGTTATTTTTAATGATTTCAAATTTTGACAATGAGTAAACATATCTAATGGAAATAAACCACCATTCATTATGTGCAGACAGGAGAGTGATTTAACCTTATCTCGAAGAGCTTTAATGATTTTTGGAATACGATTATCTGTTCTTTTTATTGTCAAAGATTGTAAAGAATCAACTTTATCAATAAAAGAAGCCAAACCGTCATTATCATCATATCGGCAGTCTATATCCAATTGATCAAGTGAAGAAAATGTTGAACCGAGGTATTCGAAAATATCTGTTGGACAGGAAGTGTAACAACCTAATTTATCAAGATGCGAGAAAGTAGGAATGATATCTGAAATATTACGTAGATATTGAAGTTCACCTTTCCAGATAACATTTCTAATGATTATACTATATCTCAAGTTAGGACATAAAGAAACAAAAAGTTTCAACAGCTCACGATAAAATAATTCTTGCATTTGTTCATATTTTTGAATTTCTGGATCATTTTCGTTAACATTATCTAGGCTGTTAAGATCAAACCTACCGAGTCTTTTAAGCCTACTATTCGAACCAGAATTAGCAGACACCCAAAGAGTAGCTGCCTCATATATGGAAGTTAATTCTATTTTTCGTAAGAATGATGGATAATTGAATAAGGTAACAGTAGTTGATAATGCCGTTGTCGGTCCTATTCCAGCATTTTTAAGTAAAGTTTTTGATCCATCAGACATACAAGCAACATAGATCTGAATTAATTTATAATATGATGGTATTCCCATAGGCTTATTGAGTGTTTCTCTCCAAATTAAAGAGACTGTATTAGCACACCATTGCCGATTTACTAATAATACACATGGATATAGATCGCAATCATTAATATTGCAAAAGATTTTTTGTAGAACTTCAGGTGGAAGTCGATAAACCATATTAAAGTGAGAATGTAATGTGAGACAATCAGGTGTTCTGATTCGATAGGAATAAATACTAAAAATGTGACACAAAATAATTGAGCACAGAAATTCTAATATATATATAGTGATAGCTGATAGTACGTGCGTACGTACGTATGTATCGGTATGTACAGTACATACATACGTACGTTCATATGTTATTTGGGATCGAATCGAAATCGTTTGTTGTTACATATTGATCAGATTAATATACAGTATATCGATATAGTTACGTACCTAGACGCTAATTTCTGTATTGCGATCGAAAGAGACGATAAATTTTCTAACTCCGGCGACTACCCATTTTCACTTTTTCATATACTCATTATTACGAGTTTTGTACGTATGAGAAATTTGAAAAAATGAAATTGGAAATTCTTGATTTAATAATTTATAATTATGCAAAATTATAGAATTAGGTTTTGACATATTACAATGTATCATGTATTTTCACCACAGTCTCTTTGCAATTGTTCTTTTTTCATGGCATAAAAAATTCTTGAGATATTATCAGTTCCAAGCTGCAGTCAAATTGATAACTTGGACTATATAACTCAAGCTATAACTAACATAAATCATAAGCTTTAAACTATAATAGAATGACAATCGGGTTATGACTCGGGTCAATTGCTGCCCCGAATTTTATTAACCCACGTCATTATTTCTGACCCCTACAAAATACTTAGATAACACGAGTTGAAATTTTATACGACAAATGCATAATAATATAATAAAATATGTGGATGTTTAAACAACTTCGGAACTTTAATAATTTATTTGGCTGTTGCAGAACCCAGAATATTCTAAACTAAATTTGGTCAATAACTCATACTTTCCAAACCTTGATTAGGAGTTATCATCATTATATGATTAGTATAAGTGGGTGCAGATGGATTACCGAATTAAACTGATCGCCAGACAATTAATCTGCAGAGAATAAATGGATTTCGTCATATTCTAAAAATGGATTTTTCGGCATGAGATGTATGATTTGAGTACAAAAAAATCTGAAATTTTAAAAGAAGTGATAAAATTCGAAATAAAAGATATGTATAACTTTGTCTTCAAAGTTTTTCGAAATTTCAAAATGTATTCTTCTGTAACCCCATTGTTGCTGTTCTTATCTAAGAAACCACATATACAAGAGGCTTGATAGGTGAGGTAGATGGTTAAGAAGCGTTGGCATCGAAGTCATTCATAAAGGGTGAGCTTTTTCTCTAAGTATTTATTGAGTTATCATATATTCAAAGTTACGCTGCCCCATCAGTGTAAAATGTCTGAGAAAAATTGAAAGCTCTTCGTGGCCTATGTTTCGACATAGAACGTTCTTTTTCTCAGTTACTTGGTGTTCCTGCGGTCGTCAATACACGGGGAATTTATGGGTGAATAGAATATATGCTAACTAATGAGTGCGTCACCGTAGACTATTCCGGCCGTGCAACATTTAGTTGTTAATAACTATGACATAAATACTTAATTAATTATTTAATAGTAGTCGTCGAGGAGATAATGTGGATTCAAGCTAAAAATTGGTGTAATATGATAAGCAAATATCGTATTTATCCCCTGGCCAATCACTTTTTTCATGTACTTATTTCTACTAGACATATATCTATTTAATCTTTAAATATCAAAAACAATGTGTAAAATAAGTACATGAAAGTTATATTACATAGATGGCAGGGGATAGATCAGTTATATCCTGTGCAGTTGGTATAACTATTACTTATTCATTTATTTGGTTTTTTATTAACGTTAATTACAGTAGTTAATTAATTATAGGTCAGATGTTGTTCGAGCATTGAGAGGTGTTTTATGCTTGCCTGAAAAAAGGAGTTATGGGTGTTGTAGTTGAAAATAAGTTTTCCCCCGGTACGATAGACAAAGCAAATTTATCCAAAAATCATCCGATTACTCTTATAACTAAAACTTGTCTCCTTCAAACTTTTCTCAATCTCACCCTTAACATTACTACACAAACTAGCATAGCGGGCTTTCATTGTAATTGGCTGATTTTTGTTAATAATTAAATATTTTCTTGTTATCTGGTATGACGTATACACTTACGGAAAGAATTTTATATTACTTCAGCAGAATTTTACATTAAAATTAATTTGCGGAAATAATGTGAAATTTTTTCCGTCGGTGTTTACATAGTACCTGCCGGATAATTATTAATACGTACCATATAAAAAAATGACATTAATAAACGTATCACTACGAAATCTATCAAATCAATGTCTAAAACCATCAACAAAATTCAAGATTTATTTAAAAAAAAGTAACTATCATAAATTTAAAAGGAAAAAAAAACCATAAAAGCGTGAAAAACAGATAAAAATATGAATCATTTATTTTAAAAAACAATAAAATCCATATAAATAATTTTTTTAATTGTACATAATGACAGTTAATTAGTACCAAACGAATTTAGCCATAATTCTAAATAACCTTGAACGTCTACGCTTTAATAATCTTGGACGTATCACAATATTTTAACCTCTCATAAAGTTCACAAGCTCATGCTTTCATTGCTTTATGTCACAAATCTATTTACTAGCAGTGGTGCCTGTCTTTAGAGAAATAAATGTTATAAATAAAATAGATTAGCGGCGTAAACCTTTGAAATGATTTATATTTACCAAGTTTAATACATTGTAGATTATATTGGTTAAATTGAAAGCCTAAACGTACCTCTCATCTAACTTCCGAATTATCTCGTCAATTACCAATCACTTTGATATGTTATATAATTGAAGGTTTAATTTCTAAATTCTTATATCATACCTTCCTGGACGTACTTTTTGGTCATGAATTCATTTTTGTGCACACAAATCGTTACTTTTATTAACATCAGCCAATCATAATAAAGCCCTCCGCTATGGCTACCCGCACTTTGTTACTGGGTACGTAAATCCTGCCTGCTTTACATTTCGATTTAAATATGCGAAAATAGCGAAATATGCTGTCGCATATGCTTCTGTGATAAAACCCGATTTATGCACAGATTATGCTATCGCAGATATGCACTAGCCCCATGCTGGAATGTCTTCGAAATCAGGTGATTCAGTCTCTTAAGGTAGCAATTGTTGACTCAACAAATTTGTTTATTTTTTTGAACTCATGAAATTATTATTATTATATAAATATAGATGATGTTCAAAGTCTTTTTACTAAATCGTAAACCAATTATATATAAATAAAGTCTTACTACGTGATATATCGTTAAAATCATTACGTACCGAAATTCTAGAATATAAATGAACTACTTTTATTTGTAGAAAAATAACGAATTCAGTAAATGAAAATACTTTTTGATTGGTGAAAACCTTAACATGTTGTGATAGTATTTGTAATTTGTGTTCATTGGAATACATATGTGCGTATGTACATACATATCTGTATTTGTTCATTGTCAAATCTTTAGCCTCACAACTAATCTTGCTTAACATATTATAATGTTCGTGTCACCATAAACAGTACATTAAGTTTATTTTTATGTAACGCATAGATTCAATGAAATTTACACATTGAAAAATCTTTATAATCTAAATATTACTGTAAGATTCAAAAATTTTTTCTTATGAAGTTATTAACGGAAGAGAGCTACACGAGTCCTAGTTCGAGTTTTTCAACTGTAAGAATGTTTATTTATTTATTTATCTAAATTGATTCTTATATCTGTTATTAAATATTTAAATTTTTTATTTAATATTAAGGAGGAATCTTCAAATAATTCTACTTTTCATAGCAAACGTAATGCTAAAATAGAGGATCAAGAGGCAATTATTGATCGTGCTAAAGAGTTTATGAACGATTTTAGTGAACCATCAAACTTAATTGGATTCAAACTTTTAATTGAAGATCCTGACGTAAAATTACCTGCAGAATTATTGGTTGATGCGCTCTTATTACTTAGTAATTCTTCTTCATTTGAGTGCAGCATAGGAAATATCATTCCACATTTAGAATTACGCCTACGGACTTGGGTTGCAGTTTTAGAAACAGTGTTCTATTCTTCTATTGTATTAACTCGTGAAATAAGAGAAAAGCTCTATAGTAATTTAAATAGTTTTGTTGAAATTCACTACCAAATAAGCAAAGTCTGTCACGATAATGATAGTATATATACACCTAAAGGAATTTACAACAACGATGATAATGATGCTAAATTTCCAAATTTTAACATTAATTTTTTATTACTCCACTTGCGAGATACCTTATACATTATGCGTGATGATGAAACTTATTTTGACGAATTCTTAAGATGTGTCAAGAAAGGCCTTTTAACATTTATTAAAGTCATTCCCGAAACATCTAATGGTTTCAAAAACATTCCAATTACGTTTGGTAAATTATTTGTTAGTGGAACTATACCAAGATTTGCCGACGTTTTTAGGCTTAAATACCCTATAAATTATTGGTATCAATTATGGCGTGAACTCTTGTTTATACATTATTCATTAAAAATTCTAGTTCAGGAGAGTGATTATAATATTTTACAATTTTATAACGAGACTTATATTCTTGAATCTCTTTGGCATTATGCTTTTAATGAGAATTACGAGCAACCAACATATTCAGATGTTTTAACTATCTTGAATGATCGAAATGAATTTTATGAATTTTCCAATTTATGGACCGGAGAAGAACCAATTACCCTATCAAACATATTATGGTTTGGAATATTAGATCTTGCACAAAATTTAAGCTATAAAACAATTCAACCTTCTAGTTTAGCATTCTGTTATTACTTGGGTTTAGAATCATTACAAAAATCTCAAGGTTGTTTTATTCAATTTAAATCTTTAGAATTACTCTTATCATTATCTTATCGAGAACCTGATTGGTTTGAAGACATGGTACAAAGGGAAATAGATCATTATCTTGAAGCGTTACCAACAGATGCTCAGAAAAATTTTATCAATTTAATTCGTGACGTAAAGAAAAAACTTCAATTAGATAATGAATTTATGAATCATTTAAATACGGACAATAACAAAGAACAATCAGTAACTAAGAACAATTCTTCTGATTCAAATTTAAATTTTTTAGTAAAAATAATTGCGGAGAATTTTACCTGCCCAATTACTGGACAAATAACTGGCGATTTTCTTATTTTATCATGTTGTGGTCTTTCTGTTAGTTATTATGCCATTGATGAATGGAAAAAAATGTCTACATTTGAGAATAAATTATTCGATTGTCCATTTTGTAAAACTGAAATAGATCAAGAATCACTTTATAATCTTATACAAGACGCGATGATAAAAGGTCTTCACGAAAGGTTAAAACAAGCTGGATGTTTAAATAATTTAATGGAAACCCGAGAAATATCTACAAATAAAAATTATTTAACGGATGATGTCTTGTTTTTAAAAATGGAAAACATGCATATATTTAGAATTCATTTATCATTAAAATCTCCCATTATAGTTTTACGAAAAATTTGTCCAAAGAATTTACATCCTGCATATAATAAAGCAGCTGAAGCAGAACAACGAAAAGATTATGCGACTTCTATGATGTGGTTAACACAAATTTTACAATTTTATCCAAAAAATTATTCTATTCAATGTAGAAGAGCATTTTCATTTTGGAAACTTGGATTATATCAACATGCTTTAAAAGATTTAGCAATAGTAATTCATTTAAAATCATTAAAACCTTTAGCTTATTTATATAGATCTGATATTTATAATGAAATAGGAAAATATAAAGAAGCTCTTACGAATGCTAGTAAATTATTGGAATTAAATCCGAATGATTCAATTGCATTTTATAATCGAGGATTAATTTATTATAATATAGGAAGATATGAGGAAGCACTTGCTGATTACGATAAATCATTAGAAATAGATCCGAACAATGCAAATACATTAAATAATCGAGGTTTAATTTATTATAAGATAAATAGATATAATGAGGCATTTATCGATTTTAATAAATCGTTAGAAATAGATCCAAATAATGTATATACATTGAATAATCGTGGATTAACTTACTATCATACACACAAATATCAAAAAGCTCTTGCAGATTTTACAAAGTCATTAGAAATTGAACTAAATAATATTCTGTTAAATAATCGTGGATTAACTTTTAGAAAAATAGGAAAATATACTGAAGCCCTCGCTGATTATAATAAATCATTAGAAATAGATCCGAATGATTCAAATATATTAAATAAACGTGGTTCAATTTATGATAGCATAGGTAGATATGAAGAAGCAATCGCAGATTATAACAAATTATTAGAAATAGATCCATATGATGCAGATACATTACATAATCGAGGATTAGCCTATCACAAAATAGGTAAATATGAAGAATCACTTGCAGACTTTAATAAATTATTGGAAATAGGATCATATATCATAGAATCATTAATTAATCGTGGGACAATTTATTTTGAAATGGGAAGATATAAACAAGCCCTTTCTGATTTCGATAAAGCATTGGAAATAGATCCTTACAATGTAGGTGCGTTACGTAATCGCAAATTAATTTATGAAAATATAGAAAGATATAGAAAAGCATCTGCAAATTGTAATAAATCTTATTACAAAGTAGATAAATATGAAAAGTTACCTGTAAATTTTAACAAACCATTAGAAATAGATTTAAATAATTCAAATACATTTTGTGATGATACGGAAACACTTGAGTATTACAATGGATTATTGAAAATAGACCCAAATCACATAAATGCATTAAATAGTCGTGGATTAATTTATAGAAAGATAGGTAAATACAAAGAAGCACTTGAGGATTACAATAAATCATTAGAAATAAACTCAAATAATGCAAATACATTTTATAATCGTGGTTTTACTTATTACAAAATGGATAAATATGAAGAAGCACTAGCAGATTTTAATAAATCATTGGAAATAGATCCCAATAATGCAAATACACTAAGTTATCGTGGATCAACTTATGATTATATGAACGAATATGAAGAAGCACTTGTAGATTACAGTAAATCGTTAGAAATAAGACCAAATCATTCAGGTACACTAAATAATCGTGCACTAATATACGAAAAGATGGGTATACATGATAATGCACTTTCAGATTACAATAAATCATTGAAAATAAAGCCAAATAACGCAAATACATTAAATAATCGTGGAATAACTTTTAATAATATGTGCAAATATAAGGAAGCAATTGGTGATTATAATAAATCATTAGAATCAGAACCAAACAACGCAATTACTATTTACAATCGTGGATTAGCTTACGATAACATGTGTAAATATAAAGAAGCGCTTGCAGATTATAATAAATCATTGGAAATAGAACCGAACAATACAAATGCATTAAATAACCGTGGATCTATTTATTATAAGATGGGTAACTATGAGGACGCTCTTGCTGATTATAATAAATTCTTGGAAATAGATCCAAACAACACAAATGCGTATTATAATCGTGGATTAACTTATAATAGTATGCTTAAATTTAAAGAGGCACTTGCAGATTACGATAAATCTTTAGAAATAAAACCTAATAACGCAATTACGTTATATAATCGGGGATTAACTTATTGCAATATGCATAAATACAAAGAAGCACTTATAGATTACACCAAATCGTTGGAAATAGATATAAATAATGCAGATACACTTTATAATCGCGGATTGACTTATTGCAAGTTAGATAAATATGAAGAAGCTCTCGCAGATCTCAATAAATCATTGGAAATAGAACTACATAACGCAAATGCATTAAATAATCGGGGATCAATTTATTATAAATTGAGTAGATATGAAAATGCACTCATAGACTATAATAAATCATTAAAACTAGATCCAAACAATGCCAATACATTTTATAATCGTGGGTTGACTTATAAACAAATAGGAAAGTACAAGGAGGCACTTGCTGATTATAATAAATCATTAGAAATAAGTCCTAATAATATAAATACATTAAACAATCGTGGATCAACTTATTGTAAGATACATAAATACAAAGAAGCACTTGCTGATTACAATAAATCCCTGGAAATAGAACCGAATAATGCAAAAACATTAAACAATCGTGGATTAACTTATTTCAAAGTAGATAGATATGAGGAAGCACTTGTAGATTTCAATAAATCATTAGAACTAGATCCAAATAATGCAGACACATTATATAATCGTGGACTCACTTATTACACTATAAGGAGGTATGATGAAGCATTTGCGGATTATAATAGATCATCAGAAATAAAGAACGCTTCTCCCACTAATAACACTACATAAAGTATTCTCTAAAGATGATATTCTTATAATCTGATTAGGTACATTATTCTATAATATTTCCTATTGTCTTGTAAGAAAAATCTTGAGTATTAATTTATAATATTTTTACGTTACTAGGATTTATATAAAGCAAGATATTTTATAAAGACTTTTTTTATTTAATCCTAAACATTATTGAGAGATACAAAATCTTTCACGTTTTAAAAAATACATTTAATCGGTCGAACTATAATAAATTTTATTGTTCTTAATTTGTTAAAATTTGCTGTGTATAAATTTTTGTATATATTTACTGTATAGTTTTTACTAATTAACTTTTAATATAATTTTAAATTATTTTAAATTATTTTATTATTTTATTGGCAATTTCTATTAGTACACTAGAGTATAAAACATAGGTACATATAATGACTTAAATTTTGCTTATAAAACACTCTTCGGGGTCTAGCAAAAGTAACTTGCATGAAATTTTACAATCTGACCCAAATTCAAATCTATTTTTAACTTTAATCTAATTTAATTTTTTTAAAAATTTTGTATTTGATCTACAAATATATATTCGTATCTTAATTTTTGGCGTAAATTAAATTTTTTTCGTATTTTTGAATTAAAGTAATTTTTTATTTTACACTCTGATCCAAATCCAAATCTATTTTAACCTTAAATCTAATTTAATTTTTTAAAAAATTTTGTATTGATTTACAAATATATTCGTATCTTAAATTTTGGTGTAAATTAATTTTTTTCTTATTTTGGTTTTAAATTAGTGATTTTTATTTACAATTTGTTTGTATAAAAGTCCAATTAGGCCCTTATATTACAGATTATATTTACAAAATTAAGACTAAACTAGATATTTGATAATTTATTATAATTAATAGTTAATACTTACAATTAGAAGCTTGTATTTAAAAAGATAAAAATTTATAAGTGTTATATAAGTTGAAGACAAACAAGATCATGAATTTAGAAAAGTCTTTAATAGATTATGCATTTGAAGAATATATATTTAGAGAGATCTAACTGTATAATTTAAATTAGATATTTAATAATATATTATAACTAATAGTTAATATATGTAATCATAATTTATACTTTTTCTGATAATTATTAAAATTATATTTTTTATTTTTTTTAATGTTAAAATGGGTACTTGTAATTTAAGATTTTATTAATAGTATGTTTTAGCTTAATAGTTGCATTACAACAACTACAAAAGGCAATTATAAAAAAAATATACAACTAATTATTTGTACAATATTAACTATTATCTAATTTAAATAGTCTGCTTAAAGGTTCTATACTAGTTTCTATATTTAGAACCTGTTTATAAGTTCTCTATTTAAACATTTTGATTTCTTATTTACTTATCTATCTATTTTATTATCTGTCTTAATTATTATCAGTGCAAATATACTATGATTATTAAGGGTAGAAGGTATATAGATTATTTTTTATATAGTTTTATATATTTTTTTAAATTTTCATATAAATTAACATATGCTACTAATAAAACTTTTTAAATTATAACTAATTTTTATTATAATTTTACAAAATATAAATAAAATAATTTATTTATTATAGCAAAATTTTGAACTATTATTATATTTAAAAAATATATACTTAAATATATTACAAAATTGGTTTGAATCAATTTAAAAAATTTTAAATAGTATAAGATTTGTTAAATTTATTAAATTTGATTAGTTAATTTATATAATTTTATAAGTTAATTTAATTAATAAATTTTATATTTAATCTTTAAAAAGTTATATCTTACTGAGTTTTTAATTAAATTTTATTATTATTAAAATTAAAAAGATCTCTTTTATAAACTTTTTATATAAATTAATATTAATTTACTTAATATAATTTTTTATAAAATTAAATATAAAAAAATTTACTATTAAGTTTATATATAATTTTAATATAATACTTTTTATTTTTTTTTAATATTAATAATAAGACCATGCTTCTATTTTTACTGAATATTTAATTAAGATTTTACATAAAGTACAATTCTGCTTTTAAAATATTATAAAAAGAATAGAAACTCAGACTAATTTATCTGTGATTTAAACCAATCAGAATGGCTAAGACTTATTTAGATTTGAGTATTAGTAATTATATATAGAGAATTAGTTTGATATTTAATCTATTGGATATATTAAAATTTTATTTTTGAACTAATAGAATTAAGTAAGAGAGAATATAATAAAAGTGAGGCAGCATTTAAAGATGTATTATATTTAGAAGTTTGAGCTATAGATCTTAAAATGCAATATAGAATCCAGATTTTATAATAAATTTGTTAGTTGAGATGAAGTAAAAACTTGATAACAAGTGTTGTAACTACTTTTTTGGATGACAAGTTTGCAATAATATCAATAAGTTCATTTGGTATTAGACCTATTAGAGTTGAAAAGATTGAAGATAGATTTGGTATACTGTGAATAGTTATACTACTCAATAGCTTAATTTGGTTATATAAATTAGTTATAGTATTTGAAGTAGTATCAAGTATTTTAGTATTTAAAATATGTTGTAATAAAATGTCTATAAGGCTGTATAGCAATTGATTAGATGAACACATCGTCCAGTAGAGATGAGAACTGATTTGATGACATTGGTGACAGATAGATGAGTATAAGTAATATTATTTATGTAAAATATATAAAGTAAAAAGATCATCTAGTAGAATTTTGATCTAAAGAATTTAAGAGTAAAGAACTAAAAGCTGTACAAGAAGTTTGAGATTTTTTGATTATTGTTAATGTATAGCCAAGTAGCTTACCAATTAACTTGATTAAGGATTTTGTGCTATTTTTGAAAGCAGTTTGTATAATCTATAATGTATAAATATATGCATGACATATTATACAGATACTACAATAAATAGGTAATTCTAAAGAAAAGTTTTTAAAGTTTAAAGTATATGCAGAATTGTAAATATTGTAGAGTATAAAGGTAAGATATAACAGATTGTAATAGCTATATATAAGTTGATTTGTAAAGTTGTTGTATTGATTGTCCTGATAAGCAGTAACTTTGTAAAAGATAATATAGATGTTGTATAATTTGACAAAGTTAATAAGTGTATTTCATAATAAGAAGTATGATGTATATATATAAGATAAAGTATAAGTTGAGTTTGAAAGATTGTGATATTTAGAGATTACAGACTATGAGTTAGTATATATGTATATAGTATAGTTTCTAGAAGCAGTAATAAAGATTGTTAAGATAACAGTAAGCTTAGCTTTAAATAAATAAGACCAGTATCTTATTTGGGCTTAGAAGGTATGCAGTATATTGTTGTTTAAAATTTAGACCCATCTGATGCCTATAAAGCATTGTGAGATACCTAGGTTGATGACAGAACCATCTGTATAAAAATAAAGTTTTGGTAGTTGTGTATTGTAGTTAGCAATTTGTTGTAAGTTGTTTGTTAAAGTACTGGGTTCAAATATTGTTGAAATTAAGTATATTGTAATGTTAATATTAAGAGGGTTGAAAATTTGAATAGAATATTAAATTGCAATGGAGTATATAAGATCAAGGTGGTTGGCATTGAAGTTAAGAGTTTTGTTGTATGTATTAACTTGACCAAAGAATCTAGAAGAGGAATTAATAGAAATATTAATTATATATTTATTAACAATTGTATAAGAATTGAGAGAGCAATCTAGTCATATTTGTAATTAAATAGATAAAAGTAGATATAGATAAGTAAATTATTGTTCTATATAGCATTGCTAGTAAGTAATAAGAATAGTTTCTGAAAAAGAGGGCTGTCTTCTGACTTTGTTAGTAACAATTTGATCATTAAGTACTATAATAAGCTATAGTTTTTTCCTTAAAGAAAAGTGTTTAGTTGAATAACTATAGTAGTTTGTATTAGATAAGTATAAATATTGATAAAGAGTATGATTGTATAAATGATTTGTAGTTTGGTCTTCTAGATAATTAAACCAGAGTAGTTGTTTGCTTTTAAGAATTTTGTTTATACATGTAGATATGTGTTTCCAGTCTAAAAAGTATGAGTTATCAAATGTAGTTAGTTGATCTAAGTAAAGAATACAATGATATCTAAGTTGTTTTTTTGAAAATTAAGTATTTTGAATGTGATAAAAGTAATGATTTAGTGGAGTGAATCCTTCTTGAACAGTATATAGAATATTATATAATAGGTTAGATAAAAATGTAATACCAAGATGGTTAAAAAGTTAGATAATTTTAAAGTTAATAGTATATTTGTTAGGCCCATCAATAATAGAATTATCATGTATTAGAATACTAGTAGATAATTACAGGTTGTTCTGAAGTTGCTAGAGCCTAATATGAGTACTTATTTCTAATAGATCAGAGGAATTAAGTCTTTTGATAAAGTTTGTAATATGATGTTGTAGTTGAATATTCTATATGTTACAGATATTATATAGCTGAAGATGAAGTAATATGCTAGTAGAGATTGTGTAACTAAGTTTGGCTTTACTTTTAATAAGTCCTATATAATTTGTAAGCATTTTGTTACATGTATATTGATTAAGAACAATGTTATATAGTCGATATTTAATTATGAGAATAATGACAGTATTGATAATATAACATGTATATGTATTAGTAATTTGTTTAGTACTTGTAATTTTAACAAGATGTGATAATTCTGCAGTGATGAGTTTGGTTTGTTTGGCTTGTTTGTTATTAAGTATAAACTAGTATCTAAGAAATTTGAATAGTTTATTTGATAGATAAAGGTTAAGAGAATAGTTATATATATAATAGAGGTATAGTTGATTTATTTGTTATTAGTTGTTAGTTGTAAATACAGATTTAGAGAAATTGATTTGTATATTAGTCATGTTAAAAAATGATTCAGCTATAGAAAGACTTTGTGATAGTTTTTGTTATAAGAATGTAATCCAAAGAGTATTATCTATATAGGCAAAAACTAAATAGTATAAGCTAAACTTATTGTATATTTGTTGTTTTAGGTTAGT